ATGTCAGTTGTTGGTTTGACAAATCCCATTTGTTACACTTGATATGTTTCACCATAAAACAATTAACACAGATTTTTGTTGATACCACATACGATACCAAGTATTTAAGAAAACAATGGGAATATGGTTGGAAGTCTGGTTTTATATAAAACTAGACTAAACCCGCGACTCCACTCGCGTGCAAGTAGTGGAAAGTATAGGTCATTCGTTTTGCATTAGTGTGCCGGGGGAAAATATTCAAAGAAATGCAATAGAAACTTTGCCAATAAATATTTTTTATCCCTTTAATGCAATACTAAATTAATTTCTATGTTTCGCTTTTTTATATCCTCGACAAAATGTATTGCGTCTACTTAAGAATTTATCTGACCTTAAAATGGTAAGGATATACTTGAATTTAAAATCGTCGGTAATTTGCATTTCAGGAATGAAAAATAAATGTTTCGCGTTAAAAGTTGATTAGCTCTTTAAATGATGGTTATAATCAAAGTCATGGACATATTTGAACCTACAGTTTATTGCTCCTTTTATTTCCGTTGTCACAGATAGGGGCTTCCACTCTTGACCTTTAAATGAGATTGAACGTCATAGTCAAGGTTACGTTCAAGGCACCACTAGATATATCTTTTCAAACCTTACAACTTTGTTCATTATGAAACGTAATTTTCGAGATACTTTAATTCCTCCATTCTTTTTGAGCACCCTGTATATTTGCGCGAATAAAATCGTGCCTATAACCTTCTTTGGGTATCAATTAGTAAGTATTAAGTTTTTTACGTCTCTCGGTATTGTGGTTCAGGCGTGATGCTGACAGACTGGAAAGACATTCGCATTTATACTTATAGATGAAAAAATATCAACCACATTGTTATTAAGCAGCCCTATAATGTGGAGAACATCAACTGTGCCATTCATTTAGAATAATTAGTTTTAAAATACTTGAAATACTATGAGTAGCTTTTGAGTTGACTGGTTAATTATACTTGAATCCTTTGAAAATATTGTTACTGATCGTATTGAGCAAAACTCTACATCAACAAATTGCCAACTTTATTGGCTGTCAACTTGTTAAATACATAAATAAAGAGTTTTGTGGTATCTGTGACGTTTTATTATCGTTATATATGTTCTACTTGATGTTGGTCCAGTTTTATTGCAGAACGTACTTTTTGGTTAGACAAATTCAAGATATTTCGTCATTTCCTAAATTGCATTCATGGGCCATTACCGAATTTATACATAACATCAATAGCATGCCTAAAATAGAGAGCTGCTTTTTCGTGTTCATCTGAAACCTGTTATAGACATTATTTAAGTGATTGGCATATCTAGGGAAAAAAATTACCGCATGGATTTCCCGAAAACCTAATTTACTTCATTTTAACAGGATGGACTTTCAAAATAAGGCTAATAATGTAGTATATATTTAGAAGCATTCAAAAAGTATCTGGGTGGTCCTGTAGAACAAAGCTCCGGACAAATAAATCAACTTGCCGAAAACTTAAATCAACCGTTTAATGAGGTTAATGACAGGCTCACCATCATTTCGAATAATCTACTCGTAGTTGCACTTTTACTGAAGAAATGTACGAGCCCCTTCCCACTTCAGTAGGCTCATTTCAAGATTTGTACCAAAATATGCCTTTATAAACTAAAGATGACGAAACTATTTACACTATTTACTTCTAAAACAATTTATTTTCTCAAAAACATTTTGGATACACTCTAGTCGTAAAAAATACATATTTGAATCACTTAGACCTATAACTAATAGAACATCTGAACTAATAAACAATGTGCGAATAAATGCGCAAAGTTAACAAAGCAGCAATTGAAAGATTACCATTGGGTAACATCACCTTTATTTTTTATTACGGCGAAATTCATTGGGGCATAGTGTTACTCAAGTTTTGGCAAAAATTTGGTGTAAAACAATCCCATATTTCTTAAAAATTTTGTCTCAGTTCGGTGATTGCACGAGCAGGATGTTGTCGTAGAACCGTTTTCATCTCGTGCCACAAAGTTTCAATAGGTGACAGATCTGGACTGATAGAAATCCATTTCAAAAGTGGTACATTATTTTCTTCCATCCATTTTATAGCCTTTTTTGAGGTATAGCACGCTCCACCATCTTGCTAAAACACAAACTCTTGGCCGGATGTCAAACATTCTTCCATCACTGGTAAAAGTGATTCTTCTAAAATTGAAAAATATTTGTTTGTATCCACATTTCCATCAATAAAATGAAATTTTCCTACTCCTTTTGATGACATACTGCCCCAGACCATAATGGATGCTGGAAATTTCACTTTTATTTTCAGACATTCAACATCGAATGCTTCATTTTTTTTGCGAACACAAACTTCGAATCGGGCCTCATCACTCCATTCTATTGCACACCATTGTTGAGGTGTCCATTGTCTATATTCTTTAGCCCATCTAAGCCGATTTTTCTTTTACAGTGGAGTTAATAGTGGCTTTTCTTTGGCCTATAAACAAGTTGTGCAACTTTAGTGTTTTTATTTCCTTTTTTTTATAAGAAAACTTACCTTGCAAGTGCTAAATCCCAGTTTGTGAGCCTCTCTATGAGTTGCGGACCTCGAAATTCCCTTCCAACAGCGTCACTCAACAGAGCACTTAATTGTAAATAATGGGCCCGCCTGTTTTTCACGATTATTCTTCTTAATGCTCTTCGGTCGGCATTTGTGATATCACTTTTTTTCTCATATCGTGGATTGATATTAACTGCACCAGTTACGTTATATCTTCTAACAATATTTCTCACACTGTACCGCGATAAGTCTAACAAAGTTGCAATTTCTGAGTTTGATTTCCCAGAATTAAAAAATCTAATTATGAGTAACCGAATTTTCTCATTAATAACCTTTCCCCCACCCATTTTGAAAACCTTAACTACCCAAAACTATTTTAAACGTATTCTGACAGCTGTGATTAATAAAAACAATTATCATGGCTTTTATTTTTCACAGCCACATATGCGTTATAGACTTATTTTGCATTGGAATGAAAATAGGTTGATGTGCTGTAGTTGCAACATGTGTTATTTTTATGCTGCAAATTTGATTAGGGCCTGATAAGTTTGTGTTTTCCACTATATATTATCAAAATATTCATTGCTAATATTTTAAACCTATAACACAATGCTACATTTTTATTATTTGTGTTTGATAAGAAAAAAACTAAGATTTCAATAGTTGGGCCAACTGAAGTGGGAAGGGGCTCGTATTTGTGTGTTGAAAAAATGGAGTCAGATACGTTGACTTTACACTTACCATGCAACGTCGTCATCAGTTCATAAAGGAATATGTTCAGCGCAACCCTCTGAGAAAAAAGTCAGTTACGTACATGTGTAACAAGGAGATTAAAGGGATCAAGTCAGTCAAAGAGTCCATAGACATTCTTTAACTGCCTTACCGGTAGTCCACCTGGCAGCGTCGCATCTCTCCGATAGCTGACCACGATGCGTCAGAAGTTTCTTTGAAAGGTCAAAAACGACATACGGACAGACAGATGTCATGTAACAACCCAAAAACAATTCTTTCCGGTTTGCATGGAAAATAAAATGTCTAGTTTACTAAATTATATTAGAACATGGACACATAAGTTTGGGGCACATAACAGAAATATGTCTAAATTTTGTTTATAGACGATGACGGTTTTAGATAATTCTGAGAACATCACATCCATACATCCTCGTGAAACTTTGTAACTACAAGCTGGTGTTATCTCTTCCATTTATCCGAACTGCAATCTTGATTTTCCAAATTATTGGTAACGGTCATTAGATAATCGCAATCTGTTTAAAATATAACGGGTCTCGAGTTCATCAGTGTTTTCAAAAAAAAAACGGCATGTTAACTCAAAGCTAAGATGGAGAATAAATAATAACCTGGGCTAGCATTCGTCAGTGGCGTAGGAATACTTTGACTGCCTTAGGCTTAGCCTCTGATCTTGGGGCTCTTGCAGATTTTTGGGCATACAAAGTTAGTGTTTAGATGTTTTAGAGTTATGCGATTAGATTTCCATAAAATTTAAGGGTAAGATGATGAGATTAATAAATAAACTTTATGCAACTTTTTATGTCAGTTTTATACTCGTTTGAAACTAATAAGGTTGTATGCACAGATTAATTACGTCAATGCTTCTTGGTCTTGTAAGACGCACGCACTTCTTTTTCGAAACTTATTGCATAAATTTGGCTGAATTTCATTAAGAAAACGTTGAATGCCCTCATTCCATTCATACGGGTCTGTGGGACTACTATGTCGACTTCAAATAACCCCATGAGAATGGGGTCGAATAACTTGACTCGGTACTTTCCACGCAACGCTGTCATCAGTTTGTGAAGGATTATGTTCAGCACAAATCAGTTCTGGGAGAAAAATTAGCTACATATATAAAAATTAAATGAATTTCCTCCTCCCCCTGATAGAAATTTCTGCGGGCACACCTGATCGTTGTCACTAATCGTACGTGGATGACGATATTGACTTTCTCAGCAGCGGGTAAATTTACGTGGATATCTAGGATAAGTGCGTAAGATTATTGGAGTTGGAGTCGCATAAATAAGCCAACGACAAAAAAATTTAGATGTACCCCCCCCTCCCTAAAATTTTTTCCGAAATAAATCAGCGGTTTATATTATTTTCGTTTTTGGCCATTTTCTCCGGCGCCACTGGACCGATTTAGAAAACTACAAAGCTTTTTCGTCTTTGGCATATTAGTAACCTTGTGTGAAAGTCTACAACTACTCTTCAACAACCCACCACATAACACAAACTTTATATAAGAAAGTTAAATGAGTGACTTTGAAGGTATGTTTGGTAGGCAACCAAATAATCTCATATGGCTACAACGGAGTACAACGACAGAGTGGCGCTGATGCTGGATTTACCCGTCGTTCTTTTTCACAGTCCGATGTTCAATGCTTTGACGTTGCGGCGCCGGCATTTTTATTGGTTTTGTGTCGGTGATACTGATATCTATTGAGCGTTAAACTGAATTTAAATTTACAAACTTAATCTTTGTGATGGAGGCTTATCGAAAGCGGGGACTTAAAAAGTGCGTGGTGCCTGGTTGTACATACATACATTTCCAAAATATGATGCCGCTCTATTCAACAAATGGATCGAGCATGTACGAAATCCAATTTTGGACAATGAAAGTCACCAACAAATTTATAAAAGACTTTTGGTGTGTGACTTACATTTTTCGGAAAGTGATAAAGTGTCTGGATCCAAGAGAGGTCTGAAAAGAGCAGCTTCTCCTCCATTACATCTTGCTGAACTTCGATCTTCAAGTAAGTAATACGTTTGATTACATATATAAACTAGGTAAGATGCATCGTGTAATCAGTATTAAATGATTCAAACGTTTTGGTATCCTAAAATCTGACAGTATTTACGGTGTTCAAATTTTTTTTTAAATTTACCTAGCATAAACAATGAAGTTCAATTCCTTTTTTTAGGTATGATTTCGGAAAGAGTAGTCCCGAAACTCATGAAAAGAGTAGAGAAATTGCTAAATGTAAATTTACATGGTACATCGGTAATACAGATTATTTTTAGATTACAAACAAGTTGCATAACTGTTATTTTCGTGTATTGTATTAAAAAAATATACAAATTATAAGATTAAAACCAGGTTGAGCCTTATTTTACTTAAAAGATCTTGTATATAATTTGAATTCAAGTTTAGCTCCACACTGTAAGAGGGACGTCCAAAGATGGCGCTAGGTATTTTATATTTTTAAAGGGTTCTATAACAGTTCGTATAGGTCCTATAAAAAGTTCGGAGTATATCCCAGGGATGGCGCTACAAACTTAGTGACAACCCTTAGCATTACAGATTCCCTTATGTGCAACCAACAACCGACGGATATGAGTGTCATATAACATACAAAAATCATAATATCTCATTTCCGAATTTTTTGTCGTAATTATAATACTTCCTCGGCAGTAGGCGTGGGAAGTAAACTATATTCAATGGTGTCAAATCACACGATCTAGGGAGCAAATATGACCATCGAAACTAGAGAATACCCGACCAGAAAATTATTACTCAGCTTAGACAGAAAGAAGCCCACAGACACCCGTAGATTGAAGAAGGAAACTCAACGCTAACGAACGAAACTCGCATTTAGGGAAAATAGCCATGGGAACATCGGTAAATGAATGCGATTTTGCCAGGATAGGATATTCGCCTGGCGGGCTATTCCACACAAAACCCTATTCTGTGTACTTAATAATTCAATTCAAATCCAATTGTATGCAACGTGTTTGCTAAACATGATTCAAAATTCCAAGGATCATTTCCTAAACTACTCTAAGTATATGACCGTTAATGAAATTAATACTTTCCCTCACACAGCTCATAGCTCATTTTTTTTAAATGATCGAGTTTTCCTAGTAACACACACAGTGAAGCTTTAAGACAACCGATTCAATGGTTCCGAAAAAATCTGTAATATCAAATTCGATCATGCTTCCAGCAAATTGAAACGATACCACGAGTCAGTATTCAAACCAAACACCTCTGGAAGGGTGAAGTCTTTATACTTTGATATTACATATCCGTACCTAAAAAAGCTAAGTCACACTTAAGTACTGACCTTGGAGCTCTCCGCCATCTCGACCTCCAGCTTGACGAAGGTCTCCCTTTTCTCCAGTATCTCCTCCTTGTGGGTGCACCAGGACCTGGTGGCGGTCAACTGCCGTCCCGCGAGACGCTCCAGCGTCGACTCCACGCACGTCGCGGCACGTCGCACGTCTAGATGAGGATGGACCGTCTACAGTGGCAAAACAGGAGATGTATTATTAGATTTTGATCCAGTAACACGCCTAAGAACTTAAGAAGGGTGGGTGAGGTATTATTAGGTTTTAGTTTTGAAGTAAATAATGAAACAATAAATCTACAATTTTCAACGACAGTATACAGGGTGACGGGAAAATAGATGCCGAGCCGGTGGAGGGAGATAGTACAAGCCAATCTGAGTCGATTTTACTATAGGAACTACTGTCCGAAAATTAGCCGTTTTCGAATTATACTAATTTTAAGATTTTATAACATTAACGTCCTTTATACATTAACCAAGTGAAAAAACTTGAAAATTGGGTGTTTCATTTGATTTTTTTTTGGTTTTACAATAAAAATATTCTAAGATACGAAAATTGATACTCAAATGTACGTTATTGACGTTATCTCATGCAGTAAGCTTCAAAATAGTTCAATTTTTGTTAAAAAAATCTTCGTTCATCTCAAAAACTGAATTTACTAAAAACAATTACCTACAAATTTTTCGTGCAAAACAATTTTAAAATATCTATGTTTCATTACCTTTCAAAAGAGGTATCAAAGTCACAAACCGGCTTAGAAATGACAAAGGTATGAGTGAAAGAAACAGGTAGAACCGCGAACATCGGACTTTGCCACCGAAATAGTGTGATAAGTAAGACTAGTCGCCCCCCTCCCTCCCTCGTTTCAATCTGCTCTTGCGATTTGTTGCGTGAACGTGCAGTGGGAAATCCTCATATGAAGAGACCAAAAGGATCTCAAAGGCGATTTTGTCTGAATGTGTGGATGGGCATTATAAATAACTATTTGGAGAAGCCTACGAAAATTTCTTAAGAAATGTTCTATTTGAATTACTTGAAGACGTGTCGCTACACACAAGACACAGAATGATTTTTCAGCATGACGGGTGCCCAGCACATTTCAGACTAAGAGTTAGAATTGGTTAAATGAGCAGTTTCCGAATCGATGGATCGGTAGAGTCGGATCAATCCCATGGCCATCACGCAGTCCCGATCTCACACCTATGGACTTTTTTGTGTGGGGTCGCATGAAAACTTTAGTATACTCTGATCAAAATCCTGTACCCACAATAGAAGACCTCAGGAACAGGATAATACATGCAGCACAAGAAATTCAAGCCTGTCTTAGGAATACGGCGGTAATAAAATTAGCTGTCATAAGAAGAGCACATGTGGGCATTAGAAATAGAGGGCGCCATATTGAAAATGTATTATAAAAATAAAAAAATGTAGTGTCAAACAAATTATCCTGTATTAAGGTATGATTTTGTAAGTGTAGTATTTTTATTGCTTTTTCTTCCTCCTCTTATAATAGTCATATTTTTGCCAATTCTCAATCGATTTGTGATTTTTATACCTCATTTGAAAGGTAATGAAACGTAGATGTTTTCCAATTATATTGTGCGAAAAGAAGATCTTTTGAACAAAAATCGAACTATTTTGAAGCTTACCTCATGAGATAACGTCAATAATGTACATTTCAGTATCAATTTTCGTATTTTAGAATATTTTTATTGTAAAACCAAAAACAAAATTTCATGAAACACCCAATTTTAAAGTTTTATGACTTGGTTAACGTATAAAGGACGTTAATTTTATAAAATCTTAAAAATTAGTATAATTCGAAAACGGCTAATTTTCGGACAGTAGTTCCTATAGTAAAATCGACTCAGATTGGCTTGTACTATCTCCCCCCACCGGCTTCGCATCTATTTTTCCGTCACTCTGTATACGGGCTCCCTAGTTATCTGTAGGATACTCAGCGTTGTGCTTTTCTGAAAAACTACTACACAAGAATTTGTGATCTATGTTTTCAACCTCAATAAAGTAACAAAAATATCTGCGTTTTTATCTGAAAATTCCACAGAACTATGAAGTGCTACAGTGCTGAGGAAATAGGGTTACGCACAACCTTGACAGCTCTGAGTTAGGCTATAGGGGAAAGCGCTCCAATTTGTTCATAGCACATAAGTTTGCGTTATTTGTACTGAAATGATTAGTCTTCAAAACATGAACTGTATAACGTTTAAGCCAAAATAAAAAACCCAACAGGATGAGACATCTCATATAGTCGAAAATAACGTTGGATTATGCAGGTTATGGTTCTGGAAAATTCGTAAAGAAACACTTTTTCCTAACCATAACGCCTTAGTCACATAAGGGCATAAGCGACCCACACTGTATATCAAGAGAGATACGGATTTCAAACATATTAAGGTTCCAGTCACAACTCAAAAAGAAAACAGACTTGTAAGAAACTTTGTACACTGTTGTCGAGCTTTCGAAAATGTTTATTTTCTTCTACAACTTTGATCGATTACAATATCATTAAACAATCTATTATTCAGAAGTGCCACACAAATATATTTGGTAGTACTAGTATAATCATATTAGACGAAAATACCCCTGGCTTGCGAAAAAATTGTGAAGTCTGGTATTATTGATACTTTGCCAACATAAATCACGAACCATTTCGAAAGATAAAAATGTGTCCATCACCTTTTGTTCCGAAGAGGACATTTTTTTTCAAGATTTCTTCATACTCTTGTGTATAATAATAATAGTAATAATAATTAACATCTTTTATTTGTAATATTCTTACAGGAGGCGAGATTTAGATTATATATCTATTCTACTATCTAACCCCCTTAACAATACGAGAAAAAAAAAACGAATTTGTTGAAAATTAATAGGCACCTTTTTACAATAACGAATAATCCAAGTAAATACATAAGGAAAATATGAGGACACTTATGGGTTACAACCGATTTCGCTGCTGATCAAGAAGAACTTCTTTCACTTTTTTCCTGAATTTGGATAATGGATTGGTTTCTTTTAAACTGCGGTCTAAAGAATTATATGATTTGATCGCATTGTAAATGTATGAATTCTGAAATAGAGACGTGCTGTGGCGTGGAATTGAAAAAGTCTCTCTATATCTAATATTAATACGATGCATATTCCCTCGACGTATAAATTTGTTTACTAAATATGACGGTGTTTTTGACTAAAGAACCTTATGAGTCAGATTTAGGAGCTGGTACTTATACTTTTTATCAATTTTCATCCATTTGAGTTCATTAATGGCATTCGATATATGATCATATTTTCTGAGATCATTTACAAGCCTGCAACATGTATTCATAATACTTTGAATACGATTTCTTGTTATAATATCTAAATAGGGATAGTAAACCACTAAGCACTACGATATCTTTGAAAATACGAAATATTCACACAATTGCTTTCTCCCAGATTTATGTAATATAGCCTTATTTGCAAATAAAACTCTGAGAATAGCGTAGCACTGAGTAATTAGATAGTTCACGTGTGAAACAATTTTTAAGCCATCATCCGTTATAATACCTAGGTTTTTCGAATGATCCACAGGAATTAGTTTATTACCATTTAAATGTACGTCTATGCCCTTTTTTAAGGTATTATTTTTTGTTCTATTTGCGTATACTAACATATTTGTCTTCAAAGGGTTCAAACGAAGATTATGACTACTACTGAAGTTTTCAATTTGGACAAGATCTTGATTAATTTTATTATTAGCCGTTTCCAAGTCATTACTCCTAAATGAATAGAAAATTTGAGTATCATCAGCAAAAAATTGTATGCTGCATGATTTTACTTCTAAATCTGAGATATATAATGAAAATAATAGCGGTCCTAAGACTGATCCCTGTGGTACACCAGAACAAATTTTTTGTTCCGTAGAGTACTGTTGATTTAGACGAACTTTTTGATACCGATTTTCAAGGTAGGTTTGAATAAACGAAAGAGGTTTTTCAGAAAATCCATAGTAACTGCATTTAGATACAAGAAGTGAGTGATTAATGGTGTCAAATGCTTTAGTAGTCAAGTCAAGAAGTATGAGAGCTACTGCTTTTTGGTTATCAAGTGTCATTGTTATATTGTCTGTTAAATCACAGAGTGCCGAAGCTGTATTATGACCCTGTCGAAATCCAGATTGTTTAGATGGAATAATTTTGTTACAATATAAGTAGGCGCAGAGCTGCTCGTAAACAACGCGTTCCAATACAAAAAAATATAAAATACATATTTAGATCTGAAATTTTTACACGGTCACAGATAAGCGCTGAACTGTTTATAAAGTTAGCATGAAACTGAAGACACAATTATGTTTCAAACTATCTTACACTAGTTAGTATGTAGCATGTTTTAAATGGCTGCATTACTGATGACTGCATGACTTTGTCAAATAAGTAGGTCACGAAATCCAGTATCTTTACCGAGAAATATAATTCCCTGGACCTTTTTTTTAAAGTATTAATATAGTATTTTTTTCGAAATCTCTTACGATTAAAACGACTGCGAGTTCAAAATATTGGAAAATAAACTCGAAAAAAAGAAAAAAACAGTAGACAAATATCGACCAGTTGTAGGAAACTGACCGTCTTCAAAACTAGGCAAAATGTTCGGTATTAGTCCCTAATACACTAATTAAAGTTTTAGCAATGTATCTTGTATAGTTTTCAATACTATTCTAATTGTTTATAACATATTTGATATGCCTTTAGCGTTAACTTGACATTTATCAGTGCTAAGTGTAGTGGTACAAAGATCCAGTAAACCATAAGTCGTCGTAGCGTAATAGGAAAGAACGGCGATTGCTGAACCGCAGGACGTAGGTTCAAATCTGCAAAGCTCCTTTTCGTTGCTGCTATTTTTTAAAAAAATTGGAGAAATTGATACTTCACATTATGTGTAATTTTATTGCGATCAAACAGTTTTTCGCACGCCATAGATAATGTAAACCTGCAAACAGGAAACCAGCGGTACACTTATGATTATATGATTTTTGTTTATATTTTTCAACATTGAAAGGTAGAAAATTTGCATCACTCATGAAAACAAAAGATAAAAAGAGGAGAAAGATAAAGATCGAACAAACTAGTAATAGATCTTTAATCAGCTGTCAAATTCAAACTGTAATACATTTCCACCAGACAGCCTTCTATTTCACTCTCGCCGTGGTCGATTCTGGTAATAGATGGCACTTTATTCTGTCTCATTTCAAGATACTTCAAGTACCCAGGTAACCTGCCTGCAACTCTTTATAATTGTTATTGGGATCACTCTGTAGTAATCTTATTCGGTACCCCATACTTCATACCGCCAGCTTGTCACAGCAACCCTATCCATGTCACCATCGAAATTAGTTCCGTAGATTAAAGAATCAATTAGTAGGGTGCAGACAGCATTAATGCCATTAAAATAAAAAAGTGTGACCGGGATTCTGTGTCGTTTACGGAAAACAAATATTTGGACAGAATAAAACGTGGTCCAGATGTAACCAGGATAAATATAGAAGCACAGTTCGAGGAAATAGAGCGCAGTGACTCCGTGAATTGCTTGGAAATCTAACAAATGTAATGTGTTGTTGCTTATTTTCGCAATTTACTGGAATGGAAGCATAAAAATGCACACAGGGTGTCCCAAAGTATCTGCGCATTTTACCCTACAGAATTCCTGCGCAGAGTGTTATGCAGTTTGACTGAAAGGGGCTTACGAATAGAGAAAAGTAACCTAAACTGGACCCTTCCCTAAAGCGTAAAGTCGTATTGGGTGTGCGTTCTTAGAAACTTCAGTATTGTCAAGTGTAAATAGTAGCTTAGGAATCACGCTGTAGTTTACCACTCGCAAGGAGTTTTTGTATAGTACTGTTACTTTCATTATTATTCATATTTTTAGAAGGTATCAACATTGAATTTGTTGAAGAAAGAAAAATTTTGGGAATAGTACTTGATAAGAATTTAAGTTTGGAAAGTCACATTATAAATAAGCTCAGAGTATCTTATTATAAATACAAATCGCTATGGAGATATAAGTATATATTAACAAGTGATATCAAACTAAAACTTGTTAATGCGTTAATCCTCACACAAAAATACAAGTTTTACAAAATCATTGTATGAGGTTTTGTTTCAATGAGATAAACAGACGCGAACACATTACTGGGTATTATGTAAGGAAAAACCTTCTAAAGTTAAAATATCGCTCGTTACTTCACAATGCTGTTCTACTATTTAGGGTTTTAAAATATAAATCTCCGAAATACCTTTTTGACACATTAGAGAAAATATCTTCATTATATCAACTGTTCCAGATTTAAAAAATGTTTCTATTACATAGCTCCCAGTATACCAAATGATTACCCAATTTTTTTTTAAATTAACGTCCATTCACAGCTTCAAAAGAGAATTCAAAAGAATGCTAGTACAGTTGCAATTTAATGAATCTACAGGTGGTTGAATAAATGTATTATTAATATCATTATATTTTAAAGTTTTGTTAGCATTATTATAGTCAGCTAAATGTTCTTTATGTAATGTATATAATATGCCCTAGTAAGATATAACGGGTGATTTTTTAAGAGGTATAGGATTAGATTTTCAAAAAAAAAACACAAAAAATTTGAAAAAACGATTAAATCTTCATTTGAGTCGATAGAACGGTCGATATAATTTAATGTTTAAAGATTATTTCATGTAAATGTTGGCCGCGGCTCCGCTTTAGATGGCCCATGCGCAAGGTCCAATTTTGGCACACTCTCTCCAACATATCGGCCGGTATCTCACGAATAAATGCTTCAATATTGGCTTCCAGTAAGTCAATCGTTGCTGGATTATCCCTGTAGACATTAGCCTTAACATAACCCAACAAGAAATAGTCCAACGGCGTTAAATCACACGATCTAGGCGGCCAATTGACGGGCCCCAAACGTGAGATAAACTGTTCACCGAACTCGCCTCTCAATAGGGCCATTATTTCGTGTGCGGTGTGGTATGTGGCACCGTCTTGTTGAAACCACATGTCACCCAAGTCCAGCTCTTCCATTTTGGGTAAAAAAAGGTTTGTTATCATCGCACGGTAGCGCTGGCCATTCACAGTTACGTTCCGGCCATTGTCGCTGAACACAATTTTTCGATAAAAATGTGGATCTTCCTCCAACTTTGTCAGCGCCCATTCACCAAATTGGAAACGTTGTGGGAGGGCGTGTGGCTTCAATTCTTGCACCAGCTGTATCTTATAAGGTTTTACACCCAAATCCTGTCGCAAAATTTTCCACGTAGTGGAGTAACAGAGGCGAACGGCGGCAAATCGACATTTCACGGTCATCACTAACACTGGCGGATACAGCCGCAATATTTTCTTCAGTCCTCACTCTACGTCTGCGTGTTCGTGGTTTAATGTCCAATAATATAAACTGGGTTCGAAATTTATTCACAAGCTTCCGAATAACTCCCTCAGTAGTGCTCGATGCACTCTCTTAACCGAGCATGAATTTTGATAGTAAAATTCAATAATTTGCAAGCGTTGTTCGTTCGTAAGTCGATTCATGGTTAAATTATAGACCAAACTGAACAAGTTTGACTATGACACAAGACACGATTCACGCGTCATCTGTCAAAAACAGTGTTGCCAAAAAGATACTAGCAAAAAATCACCCTATAGTAATGCAGTTGATGAATTTACCTTAGCTATTCAGGCGGGGGTGAAAAATGGCTATGCGAATCCCCAGCCCTTTGGAGTATTATTCTTTTTTGGTGTTATACTATTTGCTCGTATTTTGATTCTATTATGTATTAATACTCCAATTAACATTATTATTATTATTATTATTATTATTATCCCGTCAGGTGGGATACGTTAATCAGTGCCTGAAGATACCCAATCGAAATCAGCATTAAAGAAACAGTATCAAAACTGAACATCTCACCCTATAGATCGCGCTGGTATCCTTTAGGTCCGTTTTTGGACGCCGGAATACAGCATATGATTGGGTATCTTTCGGTAGATTATGTTAGTTAATTGTTCCACTAAGTCCTTTCAAATATCTCTCAAATTCCCCATAGCCTGAGACTGGATTGGCGGTACATCAAGTATATTGTTTTGTCGGTGATGTCGTAAAATTTGACATTCTGTAGCATCTGCTAATAACAAATGGTAGCTGGAGATTCGGTTTTGGGTGGTTTTGGAACGGCTGTGCTGAACAAAAATAGCTGCTGGCATTTATTTTATAGACTGTAGGAATCGAACACTATCCATTATATGTGACTTCCAACATCATTTTCGTATAAGACAGGTGCCCACGCTAAACTGAAAGATTATAAATAAGACAACGTTTGCGTTTTATTTGACTGTGTTAACGTCCATTTGTTAAATCGGGGCATATTTAAAATTGATGGAGTTTACAATTCCACTGGGGCCATAATTGTTAGAGTATCGCGCTAGACTTAGATGCCATATTTGTTATAGGTACCTTAAATGATCTACGAATAATGCAGAAAAAGCCTCCAAAAGGCTAAGTGTAATTATACAGCAAAAAATAGAGTCAAGTAGGTTGACTCTGCAATTCCTACGTAACACCGTCATCAGGTCATAAAGGATTAAGTTAATTACGAACATGTATAACAGAGAAATAAATGGATTAAGTCACTCAAACGGGACCAAACAATTAGTCCATAGACATCCCTCTCCTGCCCTACAGTTAGTTATTGTTAATTTTGTGCACGGTCGTGTACACGTTCTTTGCACTGCAGTGCAATTAGATTAGTCAGCCGCACTGGTTCGACGGCGGTGAGCTTAGATAGCAGGAGTACGCGGATAGAAAACATTTCTGTATCATTTTAAGTTTTAAAGGCAAATCTACGGGGAAATCCGGGGTTGGGAGTGTATAAATATACTAAGATAAAGACATTTTCACCCCCTATCCCAAATCAACAAATGTTAAGCCCTACCAACGTTTTTCTGAAAATGATCAAGATGATCTGAATCATTAAAAAAAGAAGTTTGAGCGATTCTTATTATTCACGTTACTTGACCAATTTTCAAGAGAGAGACAGACAGTCAGGCAGACTGACAGACGGGAATGATGGACATGGCTTTCGTGATGTACATGTCATATAAAATCACAGGGCAGCACTAATTAGTGAATCCGACATCGATCTTATAGAGCACGTCTTTTTGATGCTAGTGCACTAAATGGAAAATTGTACTAGAAGTTGTTTTGAAGTGAATCTACTTGACGCCGTTTTTTTATGCCCAAGCAGCCGGGTAGGTAGAAGCCTAAGTCGTGGCTGGTACAAGGAGCTTAAAGGTCGCTAAACTGATTTTGAGCTGCCTAGGGTTAGTAGCCTCCTTAGGCAGATGGTTCCATAATTTTGAAAAGGTCCCGAGACTGCCTGTTAGAAAAGAGTAATTGATCAGTCAGTGAGCCCTCCTTTGAACAATATCGAGCATGGTAAATTTAGTTAGGGCGACAGCACCACAAATATGTGAGCAGTACTCGGAGCCCTGTACAGAGTGACCTGGTTATGTGGAACATCTTAGCTTAAAACAGATAGCCTAGCTTTTTCCTAGCAAATGCCGCGATCGAAAGGATGTGTTCTCGGTGATCTGTACTCCGACCAGCCGAAGTTAACGTATCTTTGATACAACTCGGCCACTCATCGAAAGCGGATGAGCGCGTTTTGTTAGCCAAGGTACAACACTGCGTTTTGGAAGCATTACACTGCATTACCAAGAAGTGATGACCTCCAGATCTCTCATCAGAAAGGAATCCGCTGCTAGTCCTTTTCTCTCCAGCTTATGGTACCGACAGGGATCGGCTTGCCACTCTAAATATCTGCATGTCGAGTGCTGTCATCAGCAAATCTGTGGATGGATTTTGATCGTATAGGAAAGAAGGTCATTGGTAAGTAATAGAAATCCCATCCACCCGTCCATCCATCTGCAAAGCTTCTCTGGAAGGCCATACGATGGAGATTTGCATGAGAGGGTAGCATGCCATAGCATTTTGTGGCAACAAGAGCAGTACTAGTATCATTATATTACTAGATTAATTTACTCCACAGTTGCGTGACAGGCGCCCCCGTTGATTGCTGTTGCCAGAAATTCTAATCTAATCAAGCCATGGTGTTCAAGGTACTCCAGAAGTTCCCACTTTATGTGCCTCTATTTCACATTACTTACAACAGAAACCAGAGCTGTAGGTCATTAGTAAAGGTCGGTCTTAAATAATTTTTTGGGACAGGTTGTACATTCCAGTTGTCTGGATTTCTAAGATTTTAGAAGGGTGTTGAACTTCTATGGTTGTCATAAGAGAAACCATGCTCGGTGATATCAATAGTTTGAGGTATCTGATTACACAGCCCTGAAGAGCTCCGGGAGAAGATATGCAAATTTATTTCAAGAGCAATGGTAAAGATTCGCGAATATTGAACACCTGGCTTTAAACTACTATAACTATATAAGAAGAGCGGATTAATTACATTGGAATATCAATGAAGCTCTGCAGCTTAATTAACAGATTAGCTGTATCAGACATTATGCTTGATAGATATCTACTTATCCAATAAATACCCGTTCATCCGCTAACAGAGCTGTATCATCCGATAGCTATAATTATAATCCGAAAACAATAAAATTGATTATATCGCTTTCCACGCGCATTGGATTATTTGTTTTATTATGGTTGTCAGACAGCCAACCAGCATCTTAATTTTAGATAGAAGTATAGTCAGCGTAGAATCTAAATCAAATATTAGAAATAGCATTTGCTGAAGCGTGCGATGCTCGCTTGATATTTTTTGCGGTATTTCGTGTGATATGCAATAAAATGTTAAGAGTTTTGGTATAAGTCCAAGCGGTTTAGTGTACTTCTTGGCTACGATGCGCGTAGATTAGGCGTGCTTGGAAAAAGAATGTGTATAAAGCCGAATAATTTGGGCTACGTATCTACACATATATACCATCTATACATTTCATATCATCTATAACTATATCTGGTTCCAATATTATCCATGACATCGTATTGTAGCGCTGCCAGGATAACAATTTGCTCAAATTACATCAGTGGTGTAGTTACTGGGATATTTTGACTTCTATAGTAGAAAAGGAAAAATATGTTTTCTAAGCCGTTGGTTTGTTTGAGGCATCTATTAGCATCTACTGCATTTTTGAGTGATGTGCTTGATTTGTCACGGGATGCCTTGAGAAATTCCTTGAGAAAAATTGATTTAAATATTTGAACGAAATCTTAAACCCATCTTGCTTCAAAAATCCTTTGGAAGCTTGTACAAAAAAAATGCAGTATGTTAGGAGAGCTATTCCACCTCATCAGCGTTATTTGATGAAATTTAATGTTTTGTCTTTGATTAGTCTGGTCAGTGGCCTAGCAACTAGCAACACTCTGTATCTTGATAACGAACGTGCTTATATGAATTTATTTCTCAGAATCGGCCAAGGAATCAGCCTTTGAAGCTGAACAGATTATTCAAACAAATAAGGAGACTATCATATTAAAAAATACTACCTGTTGTATAGTAAATAGAAACTTGACTTACCCTTCGTGCTTCGTTGATGAAAGTTAACCCTGTATTCTTCGCAGACTGGTATAAGGGCACCAACGAATCAAACTGCTCTTCAATATACGCCATAGTTTTGTCGTCAATCTTGTCCTTATTTACTCGAATTGAATCTTCCAGTCTATCCATTCCCTTACTGACCAGATCAGCCTCCGTATGGAACTTTACGTATATCCTGGAGAGTTCCATACGGCTTTCCAGGATGTTTTTCAGCCGCATCCATCTGTCGTGGAGATCTTCTACCTTCTTGTCTATATCTTTGCGTTGGTTGTCTTCTAGGTATTCTAGGATGGGCGGGAGAGTTAGTAGGAGGCTGTTGATCTCATTTCCTTTGGTCTGAAAATAAAAAGATAATCAAATTTTATAATCAACGATCAAATAAAAAAACAGTTCGTCGTAAAATTTGTAGTCGTGTGCCAAAATATTTTGCTGTATAGGAACTATGTATTCCCTCGTGATGTTTGAGCATTTTTCAAAAATTCTATGAGTTGTAGATCTCTACGCTTTCTCTACGAAGAATGAACGAGCCGATATGCTTAAACAATTTTTTTTGAATTGGGGGTTGTGATTGTTTGTGTTAGAGTTGTCTTCAATCGCTTTTTTTAGCTGAATGGAGTTGGGTGCTTTTTGGAAATTCGTCGCTTAATATGTAGATACACGTTGAGCTCTTTGTTAATTTGCATTAAAGGAATAATAAATTTCATTTACAAATAAATGCAGAATCCACATACGGTCAAAGATACTTAAACATTGAAATTCTATAATCGCTTGAAACTAAGTATTCTATTATTGATTAATGTATTTTATCTGAAGATAGACAACCTAATTCTACATTTCCTTGTCTAAAAATTATCCTAGATCAGCGGTTCACAACCTTTTTCTTTCTGCGGACCCTTATAAAAATTGGAATATATGGGCGAACCCCTTAACAGTCGTTAGTGAGAGTAAATAAATACAGTACTATTTGTCTGTTATCAAAATTTATTAATCATATGAATAAATGTTATAATGAGCAAAGTAAATTAAAACATAACTGTAACGTAAAACTGAGCCTTACAAAAAAAAGGATTAATATAATATGAATACAAGTAATTCGATACTTGCAAAAATCCTCAGTGGGATATTTGTGCCTGTTTGTTGGAACAAAGCAATGCAAAATTTGGTTCAATGTCTGAAAGCTTAAGTTTTAGATCGGGTCTTCTATTTATGTACCTATCTTTGAGGTAAGTGTATGTTGAAAATCCTTTCTCACAGAACTCTAACAAAACTTTCATAGTTTTTTATGCTAAGATAGGGTATTCATTTTTTATATTGAGCCAGAAGTCTATAAAATCTATAAAATTTTGTGTCCCGGACTGGTAAAATCTGGCCCTCTTAAGAGAGATGAAATCTAAGCAAGCACTTAAATTGCTTCCAAAATTGATTTGATAGAAATCGCAAACAGATATTTCAATAAACAACATGACATATGCAGCGCTCGTAAAAAACTGTTTCGTGTTTCACGGCCGATCAAGTTATGCAAAACAAGCTTTCGTAGTATGCATTTTCAGCTCCTTAAGTAATGTTTAATGTCACCAATAGAGATCAGCACGATGATAAAATCCTTGTCCGTCTGGCAACAAATTGCTTCGTCTTACCTGTAAATCAGTGAGCAGTTGACTATGCAAATCGAAGAAGTCCTTCGCCATCGTTAGGTCGCTTCCCATATCTTGATGACCCTGAAGGAACGCCTCCGCGATCGTTGTGATCCTAATATGGGACAAAATGATCGGGTTAGTTATGTTTTGCTCGGAGGCAGACAGTTCACACTATAGTCTGGTAGACAGGAGAACTTGAAATATGCCGTAATGCAAATTATATCTGCCCAAACTACAAATAAAATAATGTGAGTAAATAAATGTAAAACAACGGGTATATAAATGAGGCATGCCTCTACATAGACCAGTATCTCTATGCTACAACTGTATAATAGAAACCATGAAAAGTGTAAACAATTATAAATTTAAGTTAAATTCAATTTAAAATGTTTGTTACAAATTTACGAGTACACATTCCTGTTATATAGAATATATCAATTTTTTTAAATAATTTCGGAAACATATTTTTATACTGTTTCTTAAAATTTTGTAAAATTTATATGAAAATAGAAATACACTTTGTATATCGTAAAATGATTATGACACTATTTTTCTTATTGATGTTGATGCATTTATGATACTGCCTGATAATAATAATAATAATAATAATAATAATAATAATAATAATAATAATAATAATAATAATAATAATAATAATAATAATAATAATAATAATAATAGAAATAATAACTTTTATTCAAATTGCTTTGTGGATATGAAACGTCAACAAGGAAAGGTCAGATTTACATATGATTAAAATAGAAAAAAATACGTGATAACAGGTTATGAAAAAAATATCTTTATTTAGAAGTATAAATAGTTAGATAGAAGAATAGAAAAAGTATGCAGCATAAATGTATAATAATTAAAGTAATAGGTACAGTAGATAAATACGTAATTATTAAGAATTATAAAACTCTTCCAGAGAGTAAATACACTTAGGGTACATAAGTATGTCAAAGTTGTTGTTTGAAGACTTTTAAGTCTTTGATGGTTTTTAACTGAGAGGGTAAATTATTGAAGTTAGATCCACATAGGTAGTCAGGGCTATTACGTTGTTCAATGTAACGTTGTTATTATACCTTAGATTACATCTCTGGACCTTTTTAGGTAAATGAATTGAACGATGTTATTTCACACGAAGGCACACCTCTAGAATGAGTAGTGGTGCTAACGTTAGTATCTTTTCATCACTAAATGGCTCTAAAAGGCTCTAGAGGATGCAATGGGAATAAGAGTCTACCTATTCTCTTTTGGAGGATGAAGGTTCGTTGACCCTCAACAGATGATCTCCAGTATATCACTAAATATTTGAGATGGGAATATACACTAGAGTAGTAGACTTTTAATAAGTGATTATTCATTATGTATTTTAAGTTCCTTAGAGTAAGCATGCTGATTTCTGAAAATATAGTCTTTAATTTTATTTACGAGGATGCTCACTTGTATATAGTCGAAGGTTTTTGATAAATCAAAAAGTCATTGTGAAATAAGTTTCATTAGGGTTTTCATAGATGAAAGTGTGTAAGGAATAAAGTTGCCTTGTATCATATACCTGTAAGTCTGAATACAGAGTTCATTAGTGGGATGAAGCCTGGGTTTATTAAATATTGTATTTAAAGCAGTTTTTTCAAAAATAAATTTGGCTTGAACATGCAACCCTTTCCCTCATGCAAATATACTAGGTAAGTTGTGGTTGCTCGTGAGAAACGCATTGTGTATGCATCTTATCTGTTTTTTATGATAGATTAGTAATTATTTATATTATTTATTTTTTATCAAAAATGTTATTCTACATTCTCTGGCTCAATCAATATCTATCTATCTATCAAGAGTTTTTTCCTAATAAACTTTATGGACAAACATCAAAGTGAGAATCATTTGGTGATTTCAAAAAGCAAGCCTATCTAAGCATAAGTTTATATATATTTCCTTCTCAATTCATGGGATTTCAAACTTTTATTGAGGATCCGTGTATTCGTGAGAATCTTTAGAACTATCCAGCCAGCTAGAACTGGTTGAAATTTAGCAGGTACACTCGTTTCGCTGAAAACTGAACCCAAACTAGTTAGGAAGAATGCTTAATTTGAACCATAAATGGTCATTGTCATCCATATTGCCAAATCCAAATCAAGCAAAAATTTTTCCTTTGAGGGGTTTGTGCTTTATTGACACATCAGGCTTTTTCGATTCAATTCAAATTTACACCGTTATATAAGTGCATGCAAAAATTTCACACAGATAGCCAAATTATTGCTGAAACTATCACGGAAGATCAAATCCTCAAAGAAGTGATACTCTGCACCTTGAAGCGAAGAATTATCAGGTTTACGTTTATAGGAACCTTTTAACTTCACCCAAGAAATCCCCATTTGGAAGCTTGAGTATCGAAATAATGCCACGCCTTTTTAGTAAGGATGGTTCTACATTATCGATATTCTAGGGACAAAACAGCCGTCTACGTATAGGGCTCGACCGAGAGAGAGAGAGAGAGAGAAGATTGCGTTAGTGGCGGATCCAAGGGGGGACCTCCTCCGGAAAATCCGAGTTGAAAAAAATTCAAACGTGTTTTTTAATTTACAGATGACAACGTCCCGCTCTTTAATTTTGAAGCTCCGATCTCCCTCTCCACTTTTTAATTTTCATTCGCCGATACCCCCCCTTCGAAATGGACTTCCTGAACTCCTCACCGTCAGTACTTCTTTGAACTCCCCGAAAAATAGTTTCTAGATTTGTCGCTGGATCTCGTCATAACCTATGGATATGGTATAGGCTGGTTTATCTGTTCCTTGGTTGACAATAAAATGGAACAAAATGGAAATGGAGTTTTTTAGATCCTACTGATCTTTACCAGCATACAATTTGCATGCTAACTACTACTAAATTTCTCATGCGAGTGTATATTTGATTAGACGGGTTCTAGCAGAGTTAGCAGGTCTAGAAATTCTTAGATAGTATATTTTTTAACGCAAAATAGATCCATTTGCCCATTCTTCGCTCTTCAATTTTCGATAAGTAAAATTTGGGCGAAGTCTACGGGCAAGTATCGTAAAATTTGTAAAATTCAAACACAAAATTCATAGCTATAAAGTTTGTACAGTGTTCCCCTATCATAAAATACTTTGAAGCTACCTACTGATGTAGCCACACTTTCTGGTAAAGTGTCACGCATAAGCAAAGTTTCCCATACAGTGCCAGCAAATTCAAAAATGGGCCTCATAAATGTCTCAAACTGAAGGCGCAAGTGTTGACATCACATCTCTTGCAATATCTCTGCAGCATACATAGAAGGAACTCACCGGCAATAATGACTGAACTATTGCTTAATTAAATCCTTTTATAACTTCAAGTGCGCGGCTCGATTCACCTTCAGGCATTGTGCTGCTCACTGAGATGAATTGTAATTACCGGCTTGATCTCAAGACGTTAAAGGAGTGATAGCGAATAGCATCAGCGAAACCGTTTAGCCCCGTTTTCTGTTAGTGCCACCCAAGTGTTACATAACTATTGGTGGAATAGATACCAAGAGGAAACAGGGCAACAACTAATCCAAGATTTTTTTTCAACAGAACAGACAGTGACGATTCCAGGGGAGGGGGGTATTCTGCGAGTACAAAGCCCCCTCCTCCGACATATCCGCGTTTAATTTTCAATTTGCAGAATGTTCCCACGCTCTCCAATTTTGAGTCGCCCATCTCCCACCGCTCTCCGAACTTCAATCGGCGATACCCCGCCCCCTGAGACGGACATGTCCCTAAAAATAAATCCTGAGCTTCTCACCTCCCCAGCACTTTTTTGAGCGGATAACATCAAATTCATCATATCCACCCCCCAAGTATATTTTCTAGTTCTGCTCCTGAGAACAAATCATAAAAAATAATTTACCGATAATGCATTTGGACTGCGTTATGGATAACTTGATCAAATGACAAGAAATGTTTTTCCAGGAGGATGAAAAACTTTAACAACACATTAAAAATCAGTATAGCGATCGTATAAGCTTAAATAAAATCTTTTAAATTATTAAAAAACAAAATAATAAGTAATTTGTAATCAGCAACCCAAAAGTCCAAGGATATAGATTTTCAGATCACACATCAACGTTAAGGCTTTAGTAGTGACTGCACAGTAACTAGACCTCCATTGAAGGAGGACCTCTATTGTTAAAAACCGCTTTTGACAAAAATCAAACATGAATGCATTTTTTAGCTCAAGGATCGGATCCAGCTGGATATTACGCTGTCAAAATTTCGTCGACCCAAGGTCTGCCGCTGCTTCGTGGTTGAAGTTTCCCACCCAACGCCATTTTGAGTTTGTTTATAGACTTCTAAAAGACAAGGAAGCGATCGTAAAGATTGGATGTAACACTACTGAATAGCGATATAACCATACTACCAATAATAGTCTTAAACAAGTGGGAAATAGTCGTACTGAAATATATGAAGGCATAAATTAGATTTTACGTATGTTGTGCCGCATTATGTCTTCCACTACAATATCTGAACCGCAGGGGTATTACGTAAAAGTCGTACTTACGAGTAATGTTAAAAAATCTAAAGTCAAACTGATTACTAGGTCAAGTGAGGTGGCCGCTAGTGCACATCTAGAGCATACCGATCATACAAATTCTGCTACTACGCGAGGAAATGGAGTGAACGACAGCTAGTTTCAAGTTGACATTTCGTAAGAAAATTATGGCATTAGGTAAGAAATCTAACGCAGTGCCACCAACATTCTAACGTAGTGTTAAAAAATTCTTACCTAGTGTCGCTTTTCAATGCTACATGATACCCCTGCCATACTAACTAGAACCAATCTGTCACGTGAGCGTAAAGCGCGCCTAAACTATCTATCCCGGACCTTCCCTATACTGACCATGTGTAGAGTTCGCCATGCTTCTCCAAGAAGTTATTCAATGCCGCGCTGACCCTCATGTTCTCCTCCTTGTGCGCCGTACACAGCCCTTGTAACCTGATCTTCTTGTTCTCCAATTGCTCCGCCACCCTTTTCACGCCCTCAGCGCCCTGCGATCCGTGCCCTACGGCGCTCAAGATGGCATGGCCCTCTGCGATTGGGGCTGCCGTGGCCTCCTCGATGGCCCTAGCGCATTGCGCGTGCAGCTGGGCGAGCTGCGGGGAGGTTTTTGGAAGCTCGGTGGCGGTTAGTTGGATTTCTAGCTGGTCCAGCTTGGTTATCACCTGGAAGCAAAAGAAGAAGAGCTAATAACGTAAAATACATTTCCTTCCTCGCTCATACAGCGGAACTGTATGCTCTTCGCGCACTACACTATTGAGTTTTTCAGTAAATCATATCCTCTTGTTTGGTTTCTGTTTTCTCTCTCTCAAAGACAAGACCTGTACTCTATACCGTACTTGGTGACTGCTAACAAGCATGAAACAATATTGCGTACGGTTGGTCATGGTCACAGAGATGAGAAGCAAACAGATTCAGTTCATCCTAATTGTTTGAATGGATGTTCTTATTTCAACTACGAACACCCTAAATAAACTTCAAAAACTAAATCCCCCTGAAGAAAAAAATAGGTTCGGAAATGGCCATGGTAATTTTTGGCTTCAATAAAGTTTTGTTTATGTGTTTCACTAAAGTTTTTGGGGATATGTCTATACATCGCCAAAGTTTAACAGAAGAGATTAATGCTTGTTAGTTTTTTGACGAAAAAAAAAATGGCGTCAATTAGATTGACCTTGAACCTCCCAACCAACGCTAACATCAGTTCATTAAAGATTATGTTCGATACAAGTTAGACCATCGGAGAAAAAAGTTAGCTACGAACATTAGAAACGTAAATTAAACGGAACAGGTCAGTTAAACCTATAGTACCGCCTAGTTGACAACGTTGCGCCTCTCCTCAGAGCTCACCACCCGACGAATCCAGTCGTCAAATTTAGCAGCGTGGCAGTGATAGAACGACACTCATGGAGGAGATTCGGACGCGGTCAATGCAGAGAGAGGCGCGTGTCGAAAATACCTACTTTTCCATCATTCTAAGTTTTAATCGCAAATCTAGGGGGAAATGTATGACGTGTGAAACAGGTGTAATACTCGTGGCAGCGTAAAATTACCGGGGTTGGAAAACTATAAATTTGATACCGCTAAAAAAATAGAGATTTGCCCTCTCTCACCCCCAACAACGCTCACCTCCGATTTTCAACCCCTCTTTCTGGAAATGATCAGGAGTCTCAGAAACGTCAAAACGAGGTTTGAAGGATTTTTTAATATTTCGTTTTTTACCCTTAGCTCGGCCGCCATTGAACGAATTTAAAAACCACAAAGCTTTTTTATCCTTGGCATGGTAGTAACCTTGTGTAAATATTTCATCAAAATCTAAGTACATAGTACTTTCCATATTAGACGGGCCAAGCATCAGCGGTCAGACCGATAGATCGACGGAAATGAGTGACATTGTTTTTTCGTGATCTACATGTCATATAACAACCAAAAAAACATAATATTATATTCTGGACATTTTTTGATTCTATTTTCGAAATTTTCCGTGGATACAAGGCGTAGAAAATAGTAAACCAATTTCTAAGGAAAACATAGACACATCTTGAGAGCTGAGTACGTGTCTCTGTATGATTAGTTTTTTAGAATCACTCTGGTTGGTTTTAAAGCAGATTTCTAATTAGTGCGGAGAGGAGAAATCTAGCTGGGACTACTTAATTTTTCATAAATTGTTTCTCTTGAGAAAGTTTTGTCACATCGTTCCTTTTGAACAGAACTTGATTCGAATATTTGACTACTGTAGTAGTAGTATCTTTATTTAATAGCTTCAAGCTAAACAATATATATAATGCTTTTATCTAAAATTAACACTATTTTCTACATAAATTCTCAATTGTCTTTTGAATTTGACAAAATTTGTAGATTTGACTTCAGCTGGTAAATTACTGAAATCTATAAGGCCTTTACGAAATAAACTATTATGCGCAAACGCAGATCCCATAGCAGGAACATAAAAATCAAACCTATTCCTTGTATTGTAACTATGAATATCACAGACAAATTGCAAACCAATATGTGTTCGGGATACATTCCATTCTTTATTTTGTAGATGTATTTTAAAATATATTTTATTTGATACTCAATAAATTAGTTACATCTAACATGTCTTTAATTCTTGCGTACCTATTACATCTTAATATACATCTAAGAGCCTGATTTTGTTTTCTCTGTAGTGAATCTATATCACCTTTCTGAAACATATATAATATGGAAGAACAGTAGTTAAAGTGAGGCATGACTATTGTTTTATATATAAGTCCATGAACTAAGGTCCTTTGTTACCATACACATAAGATTAACGTTTTTAGAAACCTATTTTATAATATAGTCTGCATGGCTATTGAATGTTAGATTTGAGTCTATCATAACTCCTAAATATTTATACTTGTTAATCTGTTTAATCCTATTATTTTCAATTATAAATACGTCGTGCAGATAAGTATCCTGAACATTAAATTTAGATTTCGGTATCATACACTTAGTCCTGTCAACATTAATACTAAGACTATTGTTCCATAACCCTAACAAAATTGTATCGTCTGCAATTTTTTTACAGCCTTTACAATATCACTTATATACAGCACGAATAGATCAGGACCCAACACTGTTCCCTGAGGCACACCATGTCTATTTTCTCTTACAGAAGATAAGGACTTTTTGTACTTTGTTCGCTGAATTCTTTGTTCGAAGTATCCTGAGAACCATCTTAAAACGTTGCCTTTAAAGCCATATGTTCCTTTTTTTTATCAACAAATTTCTATTTATTGTTTCGAATGCTCTCCTAAAGTCGATAAACACCCACATAATGACCCACACTCAAAACATTTTTCCATCCTGAAATAACTGGCTGAGCCGCACTCTCACATGAATGGTCCTTCCCAAAACCAGCTTGGTATTTTGTATGTAATTTATTTTCTTCTACGTATTGACGTAATTGTTGAGTTTTTCATATACAGGTACCATATTAATTGGTCTATGCTCATCACGTTTTATTGTTCCACTCACTTTTTCTATTGGTATTACTGTTGACATTTTCCAATCCTGGGGAAAGCATCCTGTTTCCATATTGGAATTTATAGCTGGAGAAATCGATTGCCTACGACTTCAAAAGCCAAGCCAAGTTTTTGGTATTAATTCCGTCAACACTGCTATTTTTATTTTTTAAATTAACTGTAGTTCCTTCATTTGAACTGTTTTAAATGTACTAAAGCTATTTGTAGGACTTGATATATAATTCAAAGTATACTAAGTGACATATAAATCCGAACACCCAGTTTAAATGGTTATATTTTAATAAAATTCTGTATAAGTACTTAATGAAGCATAATAAGTAAATGATAAAAATTTCAAAACGATTGCACTGCTTTAAAGCCCTTTGACCTTTAATAATGTGTGGATGCACCCTGATGTGCTACGCATTCTCCAACGCGCCTTGGCATGCTTCTGATCAGGTGGTCAATTTCCTCCTGTGGTATCTCATTCCAGGCAACCACCAACTCCTCTCGAAGTGCTTCTAGAGTCTGAGGAGGACGTTGCAAATTGAGCAATGTCCTACCCATCATATCCCACACGTGCTCAATTGGGGATAAGTCGGGAGATCTTGGTGGCCATGGTAACAATGTGACATCATTATGTTGAAAGAAGTCTATTGTGACTCTTGCAACATGTGGTCGAGCATTATCTTGTTGGAAAGTTGGATCTGCCAGGGTGTCAAGATTGGGTAAAAGATGGGGTTCTAGAACTTCGTGGATATAACGCTGCGCGTTCATGTTACCTTAAAGGTGACCTGGTACCATAAGCTATAGCACCCCAAACCATAACTCCAACAGTGTGATGAACATGTCTTTCAACAAAAAACTGTGGATTCCTCCTTTCACCACGTCGCCTTCTAACCCTGGCACGACCATCGTGCATGCCTAAGCAAAATCGAGACTCGTCACTAAAGACAATACTGTTCCATTCCTGATCCCAGAGTGACCGTTGTCTGCACCACTCAAGGCGATTACGTCGGTGTTCTCGAGTTAAAGGGAGGACCCAGTGTGGCCGGTATGAAAACAAGCCAAAACTTCTCATTCGTCGGTAAACACTTCGCATGCCAATAGGTCTTCCGTGTTCTGCAAACCATTCATTTGCAATGGACCTGGTAGTGGAGAAACGGTCCCTTAAGGCCAATAACCTTAGGCGGCGATCTTCACGGTTGTTCTACGGCGGCGTCCAGTGCCCCTTGCTCTTTGCGTACGGCCTTCTCGAAGCCATGCCTGACAACACCTAACCACAGTGTCTACACTTCTTTGCACTCTAACTGCAATTGCCCGAAAAGAAAGTCCAGCTTCCCGAAGTCCCACTATACGGCTCCTATCAAACTCACTAAGTTGACGAAATTGTACAGGTCTCCGTACCCTAGGCATCGTAACCGATCATAAAGGATGTCAAGAACCAAAATCCGCCAACGTTGATTCTTTACTGCGGCTGAAGTATTCATTTTTAGAACGTTAGTGAATTAAAAAAAAAGCAGTATAAAAACCGGAATGTCCAACTGAGAAGGCTGAAAATTTTTTCACTTGTTATTTACAGTAAGATAAATACATTCACCAACTTTTATTAAAATAAAACCATTTAAACTGGGTGTTCGGATTTATATGTCACTTAGTATATTTTCCATATATATATGTCACCTATATCAATTGCCAAATTATTCACGCTGTTCAGAAAAAAATCATTAAAACTCTCTACTATTGTCTTACTTTCTCTGTGAATAGTTCCATCGAAATCAATACCTTCCTTTCTAAAATATTGTCATGCAAATCTGGTGACCACCATCTTTTGCTGCCCCATTTGACAGGTATCTTTCTGTTAACTATTGGTGCACAATAATCTAACTTTTCTGTTATTATTTTTACTAAATTGTTTGCTATTTCATCAGTACTGATAAGGTTGGATGACCATGGAGATTCTCTTAGCATTAATTGAAATTCAAGATCGTTAAAGTGTTTCATATCTCTGTAATATTCCGCTTGACTGGTAGGCTCAGCTGTAGAAAGGTTAACCTTTAGTATTGCATGGTACGTTATTTTAGGAGTATAGCATATCTCACTTTCCAGGCACTTTTCATTTGTAATTATGAGATCAATCATAGTTGCACTATTTTGTGTAACCCTTGTAAAGTTTTGAA